CCCCCGTGAGGCGTGAGCCCTAGGGTCTTGAACCCAGAAGGCTGTAGTCCGTTCTGTTCATTTTTGATGACCAACCCAGTGTCTCCCGGTTGCGACCCAGATCCGAATTCACAGCGGGGTCTCTGTGCTTTCTGTGTCTCTCCAAAAGTCTGACTGGATTGGAGTGGAGCAGACACCGCCAGGATCGTTCTTATCTGTCCCAGAGACTCCATGTATGCCATATATGCCTACATTGGGTGTTATGACTCCCATTCTCGGAGCAACGTTCGCGACTCGAACGTAGGAACCCCGGACATCTCTACGTGACGAACGGAGCGAACCGACATCGCGACGTCGAACGCTTTTGAAGCTTCGACCTCGACCTCGTTCGTCTCTGTGTGACCGACCAGCCGGATCTGGACGGTCACTGAAGTTTCTGGCCACCCATCTACAGTTACATATCAGGACCGGTTAATGGACACCCCTTAACATTCTAAGGGGGTGGTCCGGGTGTCCTGGTAGATGTTACATGTTTTACTACATGTCTGACCCTTATGTAACTACTGCAGCTATTCCATGCATGGATGGCCTGGGATTTCTTATCCATCCAAAAGAGACCCAGTTCGGGAAAATGACCAGTCACCCGATCAGCAACAAACAGACTTTTGTTCAGTAAGGGTCCAAGTGATCCCGGTGGCAACCCTTCTGTCCGCTTCACATGGAGTTGTTCTTCAGGCATCCGAACAAGGGTTTTGAAGGATAACGCAAACCTAGTTACAGCAATATCATGTCAGTTTCGGGACAAAAAAATCCATGGTACCAACCCAGCGACACAAGAATGAATTCTGGTCTGACTAACTTGATCCTCTCCAATAAACCCATGCCAATGTTGTTCAAGCTATGTGAAGCACCTGCACGTCCCACGCCTTGTAGTTGGTTAAGCACACATCGTTGTCGCGCTTCGCGCAATAGGCAGCGCATTTGAGCTGACCGCATTCATCTGGACCATTGGAGTTGATGCAGTAATGGCAATGTTGGATGCACCCGCGATACCAGTAGTAGCCTTGGCTGCCACGGTGGTGAACGGAACACACCCGCGATACCCACATCTACACAACCTCTGAGGCTGGAGATTCCGCCGGCTTGGATTTGAGTGAGGAAGAGGAAACATATGGAAAAATAACCACACCCCTGAAAAAATGTGCTGCAATGTTTTGCAGGCGGTCCACTTGAACCCTGATTAGTTTAAAAAAGCACTCCAAAGAATTCACGAACTGAGGATGGGATGGGATGGAAAGGGGATGCAATCTATAACTGTTATGTACAGTAGGTGCCAGGAGGCCATTGTCGGGTCCAGTCGTACCGAACCTGAGGTACGGTGGCAGTGGATCCGTGTGGATTAGGGCAACCACTGCCATTTCTCAGCTCATTGCTGCTCCATGCGGCACTCACCGGGCCGAAACGACGCCGCAGGATTGGAACCGACACCGCCGACGACGACAAACCGGAACGCGTTCCGGCCTCACGGTAGCATTTAGGTCAACCCTGCGATTCCTGCCCAGGATTTGACATGACAGGTCACCAGGTCAACCCTTTTCTCAACATGGTTCGAAGTGAAGCGCCGCGCGCCGGCCCTGGCCCCAAGTGGTTGGGGTGGGTGGATGCCAGGGGAGTCAGGAGCCCAAACGGGATTTAAGGACCTTGACCAACCCTCTGGACCACCGCAGTGATGGTGGGAGCAGTGATGTGGACGGGTGGATGAATCACCTTGCAGAATGGTTCTTCAGTTCATGACTGAACCTGATTACAGTTTATATATATATATTATATATATAATATTATATAGTGGGTTGAGGTCACTTATGACCTGTAAAAGGTCACTTCAGTACTTAGGGACTCCAAAAAGGTAAGAACTGAAGACGCAGGGATGATCAACAGATTTGTGGAGATCCCAACTGTTTAACATCCAGATACATCAAGCCCAGAAATGGGAAGAGTCAAAGACAGTCCAAACCGAACGCACAGAAAGTTGATATGGTCTGGAACCAACGACTCAAACGGCAATGCCAGATGCAGAAGCATTTGCCAAGCCAAGCCAAGCAGCTGCAACCTTTGATGTTCAAGTCGCTATGCCATACACATGTTAGTCCTCAGACGCAGGCAGTCGTCTGTGCAAGACTAAAAGCCATGAAGAAAGCATGCACGAAAAAGCACCTAGCTCACAAAGTTCGATTGACGCCTCAAAACCTGTGGAAACGTCGTCTTTGCGTGCAACCCTAAGGAACATCGTCTTCCAAAGCCTCCTTTGCCAGACCTAGTGGAGATCCCAGGCAACCACAAAATAACTTAGCAGGGTTTCGTTCGGGCTCCTTTCCCATAAGGGTAGCTTTGCTACAGCAGCCCTGCTCCTTTTCGAGCGATCCTACCAAATCATCGGAACCCTCGGGGTTCCCACCCAGGGATCTACCCTAAACCATCCAAGGTCCAAAAGTACCTCAGAAAATGGTACATGACCCTATAGAATGCAACAGGTACTTAGTATACCTATCTTCCGAGGTGTTCCATCTGGGTCGACTCCAGCTGCGGAGTGTTGCCGCGGTTGAGGGCAGCACCCACCGAAAAGGACACTGTATGATATATCATGATATATCCGGAAAGGTCATGGTCTGATTCAGCCTAGCCTTCCAACCATCATTGATACCTGGACCACCCCCCCAAAAAAAAATATGTGATATTTCAAAGCACAAGAAAAAGTGCCATGCTCGACCAAAAAAGCGATATTCACGGAAAAATGACATGTTGTGATGAGGTGTCCCCGGAGAGGTAGACGTGGACCACAAACTCGCTGCGATTAGTAATATTCTCGAGGATTGGGCTTCAAAAAACAGCCTGGTCATGTTTGTGAGGTGTTCAATATGCTGCAAATGTCCAGTCCACAAGTTTCTGCCATATGTCCGCACATTTCCATATTCCCGCACATGTCCGCCATAGACTTGTGTGTCAAAATTTGCAAGTTGCAGCACATCCAAGAGTTACCCTTTCATCAAGTTGGAATGCCAAAAGTTGAAGTAGAGAGTCTCCTGTGTCGGGCTTAATCTGCACCCGTCTTGTGTCCTGTTGCACCAGGTGGAGGTCATGGTAGCTCCAAAGAGCACAAAAAATGACATGTAACTTTTTGGCATGGCAGCTCCAAAAAGCAGGTTTGACCATTGACCTATGGCATTTTTTTGGACAAAGGTTGCTCCAGGTATAGGAGGATCTAATGGTGTTTCTGAACGACAAAGATTCTATTGTTCTCCTAAAGGGCTTTAGACTACGGGTCAACCGAACCCTGTTCATGGCCTTCGGACAGGGTTCATGAGAGGCAATTAGGGAAAAAACACCAGCCTCAATGAAGGAAAGCATGTCAGGTTTTCACACATGATCTTGCAAAATTATGCTGTGCAAAAAAAGTATAGACAAGCAACATCCAACAATCGGTCCAAGTAGGAAGTGGGCAGGCCAAAAGCTCGGCACGACGACCGCAGACCAACCCTGACCATCATCATATTGCTATATTGCGGTCAGTCATCTTGCGTTCGGCATTACACTTCGACTCACTAACATGGAAGTGGAAAACCCACTGTTTGTAGAGGAAAGTAGTCTTCCAAGAGGCCATTTTCCACTTCCGTGTTAGTGGGTCAGAGTTTACATGCATGCGTGCGCGCTCTGGACGGCAAAGATGCCGAGCATCGGTAGATGTCCAAACACCCTTGCTGTGTCAAGGCTATCAGCACCAGCACCGCTGCCAGTGCCCCGGGCACCATGGCGTCTTCTCCCGAGGGCGCAAGCTGCTGGGCACAAGCTGCTGGGCGCCGTGAAAACCAAACGGCGCTCTCCCAAAGCTGAGAACAGCAGATGAACAAGGACCAATGATGGACCAAGCAGACCCCAACTCCGTGGCACTTCTTTGCACCAAACCCCCAACGTTTTGCGAGCTTTGGAAATGGTTCGTTCACAGGGATTGGATTCCGGAAGAGTCCATTGAATTCCCAGACCATCCATCGGACTGGCCTCTTGACCTATTAGCTTAGGGTGATTTCAGGGGTCTTTCCGTGTCAGGCGGCACCTGGACCATCCAAGAAATGCCCTGTCTGGAAGCCTTTTTCTAGGTGGTGTCGGGTAGTCCGGACACGTCGTGGATGGTCCTGGGTGACTGCAGAACGACATAGCATGACCCAAACACTGCATGTAAACCGGATCCAGTCGTACCTTCTCAGGTTCGGTACGACTGGACCCTCCTGGCACCTACATAACAGCGCCTCCAATCACCGTACCTGAGGTTCGGTACGACTGGATCCCTAGGGAAAGGAAATGCCTACATTTAAAGGTGGTTGAAAAGGGGCCATGTAGGTAGATTCCATCCGTTCCATGGAACATGGAGCCATCAAAGAAGAACCCTTCGTTGAAATGGATCCACTGCGACCCCTCAACTCGGGGGTGATGTGCTTGACCCTTTGATGTAGGCAGTCGCCAGGGTGGGTCCAGTGGTACCCACCCAGTACGAGAACATAGGACCCAACTTCAAGTACTCCAAAACTATGAGGAATCACTGAAGACTTATTCCAAATTGACACACAAACTATGGAGCACTTGCTCCAAAACTATGTCAATGTTAAAGAGGTGGGTCCAAGTCATATGTGGTCCTATAATAGTGTATCACATGACCCGAAACAAATTAACAGGTACATATCACCCATGTTCCGAGGTACAGTCTTAGCCAGGTCGATCTCTCTTTTTTCAACGCGGTCGGGTGGTTTTGGCAGGTCGGGTCTGGCGGTTTCTGCCTCTCCGCGAGGGTAAGTGCAGCTAGCCTCGCGCAGGGAGGCTGACCTGCGAGTGCGAAGGTCGCCTGACATCACCTTTGTTACTAGTAGCTTCTTAAATTGTTCCTAGTAGCGATGCCAGGAGCCCCTGGTAGCGTCCTTGCTCCTAGTAGAAATGCCCTGCTTCTTGCCTCACCACTGCTGTTATACTTGCAAAATGTTGTCAAACCCAGGGAAGAAGTTTCTCCATTCAGCTTCGATAGTCTGAAGTAGGCTGCATCACCTTTGGCAGAGATCTTTTTGGCAAACCAAAGGTCCAAAGTTCAGTTGTCACCTCTGAACCCTGGAGCCTTTGAGCCTCCATGCTTGGCGCCTTACCTTCCCCAGTTCTTCGTGACATGATATATAGACCTTCGTTTATAGGTTCTGACCGAACCAAAGGGTGAGTTGGTCTTGTTCGGTCTGACTTGCCATTCACCTGCTTCCAACAAGAGCAAATGAACGTCTGGATCTGCTGATCCGAAAAGGATCGCACACTGAGGAGCAGTGAGTGGTTGCGCACACTGACGCCGGGAACACGGGAGACAGGGAGAAAGGGAGATCACTTAGTACCAAAGATCGACCCAAACCGCATTCCCCCCAAACTGATCGAATTCCTGAAAACCACGTCATCTATAGATCATATCTACCCTAGCCTTCAAAGACCATGAAAAGAAAGGTTGAACTATGTTGAACTGGTCTGTCGTAGTCTAAAATCCAAAAAGGAACTCGGGCCTCAGTGAAACAATATGGATCGAATCCTAGCTAGGCTAAACCCTCCATCCTGCCAGCAACCTTGCAAACGAGATGTTCTTCCAACTGTGGTGGACAAACGACCACTCGTTTCTCAACCATAGCGACCATGGCGAACTGATGAGTTGTGATGGGGACAGTGCGACCATGGCATGTTCACTTCCAGTTCGTACCTGGACCCGGTCGACCGTAAGAAATACCTCTGACAACAAAACAGGTGCCACGGGCCAGCCATAGCTTCCATGGTACTTGCAGACCCCCCAGGGATGACATATATGCCGATCAGTTGGGGCGGTTGAAAAGGGGCTAATGTGTAGGCATACCATTCCATACATGGAGTCTGGTGCACATCATGTAGACTCTTGAGGACCATACACCCAACCCCAATTGAATTGAAACACTTCTTCATATGGGGGGTTTATTACTCAAGAGTCTACATTACCATCCAGCCATTCAAGAACCATCAAGAACCCATCACCAATGGTAGTGCCTGAAGGGTCAAGCGGATTCCGCATCGACTTCAGGGTCCGTGCGCGCCTGGGGCACTGACACGGATGGGGACAACTTGGATGGGCAGCGGCTGCTAGGAACTGTGTGAACATTTTTTCAAGCCAAAAACATCAAAAAACATCAGCAAAGGACAATAACAATCACCTGATGCGCAAAACCAAGCCAATCAAGACGTGATACGCTTTTTCGGGAAGAGCTCGCCTCCACATGCTGCGATGTTGGTGTCAGTGTCTCTTTGTTGAGTCGTGCTTGGAATGGCCGATTGAAGCAGGTATAGCTTGGAAAACATGAACTACTCCACCATTTGTCCAGCTGCAGCTACACAGGACCACTTGCCTACTGGGTAATGCGGCAATGGGTTCTGAAGGCGTGCCTCAGCGCATGAGAATTGCGTGGTTTGGAGGTTTGACTATTTTTGACTCTTCTCCTCGCTAGTACGCTAGTCCACTTGCATTGTCTCATCTGTTGGCCATCTGCACACCAACCTAACTTTAAAGTATACGTACCGTACCAATGCCAACCATGCCTGAGAAATCATCACAACTGGGTGATCTACAGCGCCAGCCAAGGAAAACGATCGTCTTTGTATTGTGGACAGGGTCTTTGCTCAAATAATCAACGCAGTCTTGCGTAGGGAAACTGCACTGCCAGAAGGACGGTGTGCAGCGCTGTTCAGTTATCTGTTTGCCCTACTAAATATTCGATCCATGTGAAAGACCTCAACAACCTCAACACGGCACATGGTCACCATGGTCATGATCCAGAAATACATACAACTGGCGCAGCTGACTGAAGCTATACACTCCCTGAAATACTCATGGAAGTATACACTGCCTGGAGCTATACACTCCCTGAAGCTATACACTGACTGGAAGTGGAGTGAAAACCATCTCTTTGTCTTCGGATTCCACGATCCGACATCGGAGGTCATCCCATCATGATTGGCCGGGAAGTGTACCCACTGGTGTCACTGTGATCCCCCTGTACGCCTTGGGGTGTCTCCTTTCCATAAAGCAACCTAACCAAGGCCGCACAAGGGGACACGTCCAGCATCACTGACACGCCAAAACCAACCCAGCGACACATCAGCAAACGCGCCTTAACGTCGTCTCCTTTTGAAGATTTTGGGGAGGCCTGCAGCATTTGCCAAAGCGGAAGCAGGTTGCGGTTTGAGCACCAACAACCGACGGTGCTCGTGAGAGGTTTGGGTGACCGACGGTGCTCGGATGTTGGATTTTAGATTCCCAGGAACTGAGACGTGTTGCACTCTAGCCGTTTGGCTAAGCCTCTTCCCCATGCCAAAGGATTCATCATATAGGGCACGGGGAAGATCTAGAGCCATCTATAGTCCCTGGAACCATCCATGAATGAGTGGAGTGAAAACCACCTGTTTGGTTATTCAGCAACAGTGACTATTTAAATCAATCTACCTGGACCCTAAAAGTACTACAGAAAATGGGACATGACCCCATACAAACAGGTACTATAGTACCCATATTCCGAGGTGCGAACTGAGGCTTCAGGTACATCCAGTCTGTTTGCGGGTTGCCGACTTGCAGACTGCATCAACAGGTCCACATGCCAAACCATTCATGTGACTGGAAGAGTGACGACCACATGGATGGGTCCAAAACTGGGTAAATGATGCTACATCTGTAATATATATATATATTATATATATATATATACCAGCACCTTCCAACAGGTCTCCTTTGGAGGGCTGTTAGGCTCCAACAGGTGTCAATTGGTGACCTGTTGCAGGTGCTGGTATATACACAATAACGTACAATAACTATTCCATACCTGGACCATCCATAGGTGTCGAAGATCCTTAAGTACTGTAGAGTAGTGCATTAGACTTAAGTAGTGTAGAGATGTGTAGAGTAGTCCATAGTGGACGACAGCATTGGCATCTTCCTTTCGCCCCTCTCAATTCGGAGGCCTCGCTGTCTTAAGACACACCCACTTGGATGCCAATGAACTGGTGAATCTCCATTGATCTGTCGGTCATTGTTGGTTCAATCCTTTTCCCTTCAGAAGAAGACTCCTACTAGTAGCCTCCTTGCTCCTAGTAGTAAGGCCCGGAGCCCCTAGTAGCGTCCTTGCTCCTAGTAGTAAGGCCAGGAGCCCCGATCGTCACGTTTTCAAGCCGATTGTACCTCCCTTCTCTTTTTCCCACGAACGGTGCCTCGGCCCACGAACCGCCCGCGTTCGCTACCCCACCTCAGCTCCCTCACTCTCGGCTTTTCGCTTCTTGCCCAGTGGCTGAGCGCGCGAGTTGCGTGGAGAAACCGGCATTTGTCTTAGCGTGTGTTGCTGGCGCAAGCCAAGAAATATGGATAAATGGTTGGTTATAAGTTACTATGTACATGTGATAAGGATGCATTTAACTATCAACCAATTAGCAAGCAAGGGAGGTGATTGTAATGAGTCCTCATGAGTCCTCAACGTGTAGAGTTTAGGACCCAACTCTCTGGACCAGGGTCCCAACTGATACCTCTGATCAGCCGTTTCCCACTGACCAGGAAGGTTTAGTGAACGACCTCTGACCATTTGAGTGGGGTCAATCCCCAGCAAAAGGTGACCTGCATTGTTGACTGACTGGGTAGGTACAGAAACCTGATCCTAACATTGAACAAAACATGTAAAATCATGCGGCCCGGTCATGCAGCCCTTATCTTCAATGGTAATGTTCAAGGCCAAGGCCTCCTGAATGCAAGCGATGCACTCAGCTGGAGATGAGTCCCTTGCTCTCTCACAGAGAGCTGCCAGCTTCAAGCCCTTCTGGAAGCGAGTCTGTAGGGAACTGTTTGCACTTTGCAAGGAAGTGATCAGGCTACTTTTCTGCAGACCTTCATTGAAAATGACACGCAAGAGCACAGAGTCCTTGCGCTTCTCAATCGTCTCCAACAGACCATCAAAGGTGTCCTCATTCTCCATCAGCAAGAACCCCTCACAGGTAAACCTGGATGAGACTCTCCAAGCAAAACTGCAAGGCTCCCAAGACGCGATCCAAGCATATGTTTTCAAGGCACAACTCCAGTCGTGTGCAGCATGTTCCAAACTTCCCTGTTCATCCAGTCTTGAACAAATACTTTTGTTGGAATCAGCCACATGGGAATCCTCCTCGGAAATGGTATATGTTGGTTTCATACGCATCAGCTGCGCTGATGGAGAAAACACACGCGCGCCATGAGAAATGAAGATCTCGGAATCTCGGATGTATAAACTCTGGTCCGCCAATGGGAGTCAAAAGACTCACAACTGCACGTCAATACTTAACACCCCTCAAACTCGAGCCCTTGATCAATCCTATTATACCGCCCCATCACACGGCCCAGTGCTCCCATTTGTTCACTCCTCTAAACGGCGGCGTTTCTCTTGCGGATACCATTCCAATTCCAATTGTTCCTGGTCCTGGACCGAATCCATCAAAAGCCTTTGTTAAACATCACTGCCCAGAAACCTTTGCCTTGCGAGTCCTGCGGCGAAAGAAGATCGACTTGGTCACTAAATCCAAAAGCAACCACTCATCATCGCGACCACTTGATGTTCCCATTTGAAGAGAAGGCACGCGTGAGATTCCATCGGATCGGAGCAAGTCGTACAAATATATGTTTTAATGAGCCCTTCCATTCAACGACAACAACCAAATGACGACGGCGCCCTGGAGCTTTATCAGCACCAAGCAGGCTAAACCCTGCTGACCAAATCCCTCCTCCTCCAGCTTGATCGACCTTCCAGGCGTCCTCCTCCTCCTCTTCACATGCTGCCTCTGTCTCAATGTCAACGTCCTTGTCAGATAGAATGTCCCACTGTAGCCTCCCATTGCTCCTGCAACATCTGCACCGCTGTCGCCTTTCTATTTTGGTTGTGGAGCAATGGGATCCTCACTGTCAAACCAGAAAGTGGTAGCAATTTAACAAAATGAAAACGACTGATGACAAGAAACTACCTTACTTCGAGTGATCCCCACCATGACATTTCAATCTGACAAACTATTTTGCACGTATTGAATCTGTTTTTCGACATCCTTTCTGGCATATCTGCCGACATTTTTTCTGACATGTTTCTGGATATTCTTTCTGGCATCACTTCTGACATTTTTTCATCTGACATGTTTTCTGGCATTGTTTCTGGCATATCTTCTGACATTCGAGGTCTGGAGTCTAGAGGTGTAGCAGCAGAAAGTCTAGAGTCTAGAGATCTAGACGCATTGGGGTCCAAAGAGGTGATGGTGGTGATGAAGGTGGAGATCGCGGCGATGGTGGTGGTGATGGCCGTCTGCAAGATGGCATCTGCGCACGTCAATTGGATTGAGCACAATCCACTTTCCCTTGCCTCGATCGGACGGGACCATCCACTCCACTCACTTGATGGAACATGATGGAACAGTCTGAAGATCAGAAAGAGAGTAGCTTCAATGAGATTGTTCACACTCCGAGGATTCTGTCATGGCCCATAGTCCGCTCCACGCAGGAGCGCTCTGCGCGACACCATCTGTGCACCTGAAGACTCGCCGGCCTTTTGTGATGCCAGCAGCCTTCGAGACGTTCCGCGAGTTCAGATCGGACGCCCTGGCCTTCCATGCGCTCATCAGCGCGGCTGCCAGCATGTCTGTCGCAGCAGGCAGGCCCAGCCGCGGGTGCAGCAGCAGCTCTCAGGGGCGCAGTGCCTGTGAGGGCCACGATGTGTCGGGTGCCACATCTCATTGGTGAGCGCTTGCTGGTATAGATCAACTTGGCCATCCATGACCATCTGGCTACAGATCTACCGCCCAGTTACCCTTACTTATAACTTGGTGTAACATAGGTTATAACCTGGTGTAACATAGGTTATAACATGGTGTAACATAGTCTAAGTTCACTAGAGTCTATGCGAACTTATATCTTAGTTATAACTAACTGTGTGTTTTTAAACAAGCTTATAACTAAGCTAGCTCCAAATGCTAAAAACAGTTATATAAGTTATCCTAGTTCGGATTTTTAAGTCTTGTTTTGAAACATTTTACCTGACACTGCAGACATGAAAGCGCTATGTCACAAAAAGCAGTTTCGTGATTTTTTCATACACTTTTCTATTAAATCAACAACTCTCTGTTTGGGGGTGGTGGTCCACCTTCTTGGCATGCAGGTGGTGGTCCACATTTTGACCTTTTGGTGGTGGTCCACTTTGGAATCCTCACATGATGGGCTGCCTTTGTCCCTGAAGCGCGTGTAATTCAATTTTGGAGGCAAGAAAGCTTAGACACACTGTATTTTGGAGTGGTGGTCCACTCTTTCCAGATATAGATGAACTTCTAAAATGAACACTCTGTATTTTGGAGTGGTGGTCCACGGATTTTTTTACTAATATAACATTGAACACATTCTTAACACATTCTTAACACATATGTGTTAAGAATGTGTTCAAAATGTGTTCGTGTCGTTTTTCTTTACTTGACACATTTTAACACATTTTTAACACATAACACATATGTGTTAAACATGTGTTCAAAATGTGTTCGTGTTTTGTTTCTTAACGCATTTGTAACACATATGCGTTAAGAATGTGTTCAAAATGTGTTTGTATGTGTTCGGCTGTGGTCCAACCAGTCAAGAACTTTGGCCCTCCTCTTTGCGCACTTTCTCGGCTTCGACCATGGCTTCCCCTGACTCTCAGCCTCGAGACACGCCACAGGTTGTTTGTGAGACTCAGGTGGTGGAGACGGTCCCTGAGTCGCCGATGGTCCAGAAGGTCCCTGAGTCTGGGATGGTCGAGACGGTCCCTTATGAGGATGCGGCTGTGGAGGAGAGGCCAGCCTGGCGGTATCTCACAGAGAGCACTGTGATATGCCTCCTGTGAAAAACTTGTTGTTCCTTCTCTAGGTTTGCCCTTGCGGTGGGCGGTGGTTCACCCACAGCATTGTGTGTATGCTGTGTGTGTGGTTTTGCGGTGGTTGTCCATCCCTTCAATAAACACACATGTTTCCAATATGCGGTGCTCCGCGTACCTTTTCAAAACCTTTTAGTCGTTTGACTCCTACTTGTGATTTCCAATATTTTCCAATGTACTTGTCAAGTTAGCTAAGTTACAAAAGTCATAACTAAGTTATAAATTGTGTTCAGTTAACTATGATAACTTAGTTATAAGTAGTTTATACCTCCCAAAACTTTTCTAACTTAGTTATATATAAGTATCTTAACTTGGCGGTAGATCACTGTAGGTGATACAGGAATGCGCTGAGGTTGCGTCCGTGCCTGTCTGTTGCGGGGCTCACTGCGTGCCCGAAGCTTACTTTGTCAGTACTGCATGCAAAGACCATCCCTGCCACGAACGCCTTGAGCATTGACTCAAAGGCATCCTCGAACAGCACATCATGGGGGTTGACCTTGATGTTCTGGTCCTGCATTGCCTGGGCCGATCGTGCCACGCGCAGCCTCAGTCAGCATGAGCAGGCGAACCTCGGGTGAATTCGGAATGTCGCAGCCATGAACACCAAAGATGATCCCTGCTGCCCTTGCCTGCCACGACGGGCCGAAGACGTCGTTTGTAGACCGAGGTCTTGAGCACCACCGACTGTGTTGTTCCAGCAAGTCCCAACTGGCACTGGCTTCATCGAGAGTGGCAAGACTCTCTTCGACATGCAAGTATGCGAGGTAGCGCGTGACGCGCTCCGGCTGCTCCTCACCTCCAGGTAGCGAATGTTGACCAGGGAGCAGGGAGCTGGATGCGTGTGCACCCCACGGCCTTTGCGGCGCCGCTTTGCGAAACTGTCTAAGTGGTGAATCTTTGCACGAATGTGAACTCGAGAACTCATCTGACGACTGAGATATACTGTGCCACACGATCTCCTGCACCTGTCGCGAAAAGTTGACTATTTAGACCACCAAAACACGAGGTTTCCCTGGCGCCTGACACGAAAGTGATCACCAAGTCCAAAAATGCGCACAGCACCGCAACGAGAGTGCACCTCCTTCAAGCACCCATGGCAGCGTTTCGTGCGACCCTGCGCAAAGAAATTGCACTTGGAAGTCTCAGAACGGAACTATTCTGCGAGCCTGCGCAGCCAAAACGCCGAGCCCAAAGAGCGTACCCTGATCGAACCCGGGCTTTTACACCTACCGTAAGAACCCCTCAGTGTGGACACTCTGTTTGGAGAAAAACAACTGCCAGGACCTTCCGTCAGCTGACTGAGATCCCCAGGACCAGGACCATGATTGGCCACCAAGTTCGGTCATTTTAAAGGGTCACTTGGAGCCTCCCAACGATCACGGACTGGTCAGCTCCTGGCATTTCTCCTTTCCAGACAGCCAGCATGTCCTGTTCTCCGGTCCCATCCGCTCCAGAACCCCGGTTGACGTCCGACCGACGTCCGGGTCTACTGCCGGTCTGTCCAACCAACAAACCCGCGTCGTCTCGGAAAAGGGATCAGTCTGACCTGTCGGTCCTATCTAGGTGGTCAAATTGACTGACAAATGAGTCATGTGATGAGCCATTTTTTGGTCAAATGAGGTCAGTTCCTGACCTGTAAGGTAGGGAGGAGTTTCATTCTGTCAGGTACTAAATACCATCTACATCCATTCTGCCACTTGGTACCGACATCCACAACGTCCACGACCTCCTCACCGGCACATCGCTCACGCCGCCGGCGCATCGACGCAGTCCCCACCTCCCGATAGCGCCTCAGGTCGGAGCACGGTCGGCGCGGACGGCGTGGCACCGGTTGCCCGACCAAACACCAGATACGTATGGTATATTCCTATATTGTATCTGGTGTTACATGGTATAAGCCTATCTGGTTATACCATTCCTATATGGAATATGATTGCAGGGGGTACATAAGCCATCATATTCCTATAATTCCCCCTGAAACTCTCCCAATGCAACATGTTATAGATGGAGCGTCTGGGATAATCTACCTGGACCCCAAACCTGCCAGGTCACCTACCACTTTGAAGTCTCCATTTCAGCCACCAAAACGCCAAGACCTGATTTAGTCCGGTGCCCAAACGCCAAATCGCTGGTACTCCAACTTAAGGAATGCAAAATTGCTTTGGATCTTTTTTGCGGCTCAGAATGACCCCAAAAAAGAACATGGCCGTTCTCATTCACGCGCATCGCGCGCTTGATGATCCAAGCCCGGCACAGGTACCAACCTTTGTCAGGCCAGGCCACACCTCGAGATCAAGTCGCGGTGTTCCGTTTAAGAAATGCTCCGGCACCAACCACTTCAGAGAACACGTGCTTATGGACTTGGATTTGCTTTGCAAAAAAAGAAAACGTATCAATAGTATTCCTATATATTACACATGCCAAAGGATTCACAGGAACCGGGAAAATAAACACCACCGGATCAGCAAACCAAGATTATTTGATCTTGCAAGCACAGCCATTCAGTTGCAGTCCAAGGTCCCCAATATATTCCGTTCGCCTTCCGTTCAACCATTCACCTGGTTTTGTAGTCTGAAATCCTTTGTGATTGGTCGTTTGGTAAAGACCCTTGACAACCCTTGAAACAATGGTTGTTGGAATCCCAGGGATAAAATGATATGGACAATTCCTGTTCGTGAGAATCGGGGCGCAAAAACCAGGTACCCATTCAAGCGTGAAGCGAGAAGTCTCATTGAAACGACTCCGTCAATTTTGCTGAACCTTCCGTTGGAATCGTCCAATGGAGACGCATTGGAACTGCAATACCCTAACATGAACCCTCTTTCATGGCACCAATCCACGCGTCTGCCAATCCACATACTAACCCCAAAAGTCAACACAAGCAACCCTCAACCCTCCATTCAGCAAATGACCTAGAAGCAGGTATACTTGTCATTGTATCATCTTGTATCCATTTTCCGAGGGTACCAATGCGTCGACCCTCCACAAAATTCCCCGCCTGTCTCACGATCTCGCCGCCTCGAGAACGGGGGGTGGGCGGTAACGGGGAAACTCGCAGAAACGGCAGCGCAGAGCTTCAGCGAACGAGCGGGATTCATGATGCCTGGGGTCTCAAAGTACCTCTGAAAATGGGTACAACCAGAAAGAGTTCTGGATGGAACTCCGCAGCCCCAACCAGAAATCCAATGTAAAGGATTTCAAGCACACGATTGGAGCAACCATGTCTTTCTTCTTGGGACCGGGTTTCCAGGAAGTACCTGTTCTTTACATGGGTCATGTGGTACGTGACAGAGGATCCCGGTGCGTTCGGTTCGATGGGGGTCGCCCCATGCCGAGTTGGACCGACCTCCGGAGAGCTGCGGAGCAGGGCGGTCTGGGAGTTTCTGCCACCCACGGCCGTACCCAGACACGACCTGTCTGGGACTGCCAGTCCGGACTGCCGATCAGTGGTTTTGGGGGATTTGGGGGGTCGATGGGGCGGCAGTCCTATGGCAGTCCTAGAGAGGTCGTGTCTGGGGTATACCACATCACATGGTTATGTGGATGGCATGGTCCTGAAGTGAAGGCTACTTTAGGAGCAGAGGGTTTATCACTTCCATGTTGGTGAGTGGGAGTGTAGACGGTCTCCGAGATGGTAAGACTCCAGCAACGGGGCAAGCAGTGATGTGGCAGTGAGGGTGGTCGTAGGCTTGACACTCAAGATCCTAGTGTTGAGCAAGGTGGCAAGACTTGATGCCACAGGGCCAAAGGAACAAACTATACACGATCCATATATAATAACCCTAGGCTCCCAACAACCGTCCTTGTTTTAGTCTTTACTGAACAACCATATTGCTTTCAAATTTACTAAGGATGTTCCTACAAAACCATGTCAACCATGTTTCAAACCAGTCTTGGAAGGCTAGGGATAAGATCTCCACTTTAACAGCAACCGGTGCATGATTCAGCTATTAAAATTCTTCCCATTGGTCATGAGACAGGGGTCTTCTTTGAAAGAGGTGGATCCATCCTTGGACAACGCCTCTTACCATGCAATCCATGGCATGGTTGTGAGCTTTCATGCACTCTTGGATTTGGTCAATCAACAGCATGTGTCTGGACATTATGGTTACTTTAAACTCATCAAGGACTATGTGACTATGCACCCTCATTCCCAACCTTGCAAACGATGGGACTAACTACCCCACGTTTATGCCAGCTTTCTCAGGCAGAACGACCAGCCATATCAATCAGAGATAATCAGAGGCATAATTCAACGTGGCAGTTCTACAGGAGCATGGGAGTTTTTAAGGTTCTCAATGGTTCCCATGTTGTTTCTGATCGAGTTTCTTAGATTTCAGACCTGAAGGCGTTCCTTGGTTCATCCAAAAACTTATATAGAAAGAAACGCGGTCGCCTGGGATGTCGTATGTGTCGGGTCTGTGGTCATACCGAGAGAGCACGAGTTCCGTGCGGCACCTCCGCTCTTGGAAGGCCAAGGCGGTGTCATTGATTTGCTCCCAACCTGGGCCAAAGGAAGCATGTGAGTTCTGCATGTTCTGAGAAACATCTGCCAGTCTCAAAATGTCTCAGTGAGAAACCTTCCCTAGGGATCCAGTCGTACCTTCTCAGGTACGGTGTTTGGAGACATATCACTTATGTAGGTGCCAGGAGGCTCCAGTCGTACCTTACCTGAGCGTCGGTACAACTGGATCCCTAGGGCTTAGAAACGTTAGAAAATGGATGAACATGGGTTGAGTGATGGTAGTGTGGGTCCTTTGGATCTCTTCGGAGGTGTTTTCCGTCCGCGTCTGCGCTGTCGCGTTGTCGCTTCGGCGATGTCGCGTTGGCTGCACGTCCTGGGAAAATAGAGACTAAGAGTCTTCCAAAGGCCGGTCCATTTTCAGGTTCCATGTTCATCTTCCCAGGAATAACCTCTGCTCACCCCTTCAAAAGTGGACATGACGAAGAACACCTCCCAGCTCTACACTCCCTGCGAGTCCCGTCGACGATGTCAAACATGGTCTTTGAGGTCCGAAAAGGCATGTTGGAATGTCCTGTACTTCGGCGGTGCCAAAGAAAAAAGGTCTTTGGACTTCTATATATTATATATATATATACCTAGAACCCATTTGACCTCTGTTTTGACAGGAAAATACCATATTTTGGGTGGTTGGTGGTCCAAAATAGAGGTCACTCAGGTTCTAGGTAGAAAACATTAGAAGACCATCCTCCAACTTCGTGCCCATTCGTGCCCAAACTTTGGAGCGATCCCGTTTTCTTCTGCGCTTTTACAGGCCAATCAGTGACCGACGCAAATTGGGAGATCAACTGGTCTCTTGGAAGAACTCAGGCTGGTTGGGAGATAATACTCGTTTTCGTTGCTATTCCTCCACCCGTCCACATCATCCACATCACATGCTCCACATCGCATCAGCGCCGGTCCTCCGTCCTGTCAGGCCCCGCACCTTTGGCCTCGCCGAAGCGCGAGCGCAAGTCGGTGTGAAGCTGTAGACCTGCGACCGGCGAGCGGCACATCGGCAACAGCTGTTGCACCGAGCGGCGCGGGTAGGGGTTACGGTTCGGGTGAACCCACGCGGTCGGATGCTAGCTGGGGCCAGCTGAAGAAGTCCGTCCAACTTCACCTTCAGATGTCAGGTCCTGCCCCGGCTGAGAGGGCCATGACTGCTGAGTTGTTACATCAGGCGAAGTTGGCACTTCTGGTATGCCACCTGCATTGCCCAGGGCGTGAACTGCCACTTACGACTGCCTCGGCCTGGCATGAGTCGAATGGCATGGTGGGCCGGTCAGAAAAAGCCCGGATCTGGGCCGGTTTCGGAAGGATTCTTTAAGGTTCCCAAATTCAAAATTGCCGTCTAACCTCTCCCAACTTGCAAAGCTCTCGATTCATGTCCTCAATCATTCCCATTGTCAGAGGCAGACTTGGTAATCTTGGTCGTTGATCAATACTCAGTCCAAGTCGAGACTCCTCATGCTCTGAATCATGTCACAAAATCATGTCACACCGCATCTCAGCATTCTCAGCTGAACCGCGCTAAAAAACAAAAAGCAACTGCTATTATATGAGTTGTAACATTACTCGAAGATCTATTCTGACTCCAGGCCCTAGGCCCATTTTCCGGAACAGCGTGCGACATCTCGCATCCTTCTGCTGCAAAAAGAGTCGGACTGACGCTCTGGCCGTCAGACCTGTTTCGTCCACACCCTCCTTCAAAACAGCCTCAGGCCTATATTAACTTTTAGTACCTACCGTGATTGTTCGAGGATGGATACTGTAGGTGCCTGGAAGGGGTTGCAAATCAGGCTTTGAAATGCCGCAGGTGGGAAAACAACTCCTGCAGGCTCCCTACCTGTGGTTTCAAGCTCAGTATCCAGGTTCACCACCTGTCTGTGGTCGGGTCCCAAAACCGCCGGACTTTGGAAGGATCCTGGTAAAGGAGAAGTTTTGCACGCAGTGCTCACATCCACTCTTAAGCACCTCTAATCATGAGAATCGACCTGTTTCAGCGAATGTTTTAGTCTTCGGAAAACGACCTCCAAAACACACGTGAAGTCCACCTACACACACACACCCCTCCGAGAAATGGAGATGTCCTTTAATAGTGAGACCCCCAAGTCCTCCCCTGGCCGGGTTGACTGGTCTATTTTCCTTCTATAGGCTATAGGCGGTTGTTGCCTGGGAGGTCCTTCCCTTTCGGTCCTTCACCCAGTTTCCACCTGCATAGAGGAAGTGGAACATGTGCGCCTCGTCGGATCTGCTGCGATGCGGAGGACGGTTCCGGCTTCTGCCCACGTGGATCCGCCCGTCGAAAGCTTCGAAGGAAAGGTCCAACCACAGTGACGACCGAAGACGCGGCTTCGTGATGCAGAGGGGCTGTTGGGAAAAGAATGCGGGTTTGCCATATGGTGATGCTTTTGATGATCATGGGGAATTTCCCAGGTGTCTTTCTTTTCAACTCCGAACTCCAAGAAACGATCGAGTGCTTTCGCCACTTGCTCTTGAACAACTGCCAGGCGAAACACTTCCTCCACACTGGACACCAAATCGGGCTCCAAGAGGGGTGACTTCGTCTTTCACGAACCGAAGAACGATGTTCTTCCAATTGGGCCCAAGAGGTCTCAGGTCTCCCTTCCGCCTTGATCTGCTTGTGCGGCGTTTGGTACAACTTCGCCAGCTCCAAGTACCTTCCGCCCCCCATCGTCGAAGCTCGGTCGAAGGCTCTGGGGCTCGGTCGAAGAGACCTGAGGGATGCGGGTCCACCGGAACCCACTCGGACGAGCGGGTGACTTGTTGCAAGTCACCATCTTGATGCACATCGGCACAAAACAAAACACGATCAAGTGTGCAATTGGTGTCAGCTTTTTAAATAAAACCAGCTACCAGTTCCTAAATCCACGTGCAATTTCACAAGAAGGCAATCATTCCATCCGTGACTCCCACTGCCTGGACCCGGTGTGGACCGTTCGACCTGACCCCAACCCAAAAACAGGCACCTGGAAACCCAGTCCAAACCAGAAAGAAAGGGATGGATGAATGTTTCATGATGGTTCCCCAAACAGCCATGTTCTTATGCAAAGGATCTCAGCTATATTGGAACAACCATTTGTTTCTGATTGTTTTGGGTTACCAGGTAGATCTGTAATGATCTGTATACCCATTGTCCAAGGTAACAGTTCGACTCCAGGTGGTTCTTTTTTGCTCGATCCCCTAGGGATCCGGTCGTACCGAACCTCAGAAGGTACGACTGGACCCTCCAGGCACCTACATAATAACAGTGTCGAACACATCACCTTCTGAGAAGGTACGACTAGATCCCTAGGGATGTTGCAGTGACCCTGTTTTTCAAGCTCCCCCCTCTGCCAATGACTTCGTCGCTTCGTCGGCACTCCAAGGCGAGCTCATCTTGGTAGATGCACCTGGTGGCATGCACCGATTGTCGATGCAGCTCTGAACCGGTGGTTGGGTTCCAAGACATTTCGAGGGGTTCAGGGCCGCTCAAACCTGATCTTCCTCGTTCCAAAGAAACGGAGGCGTTTCCACATAGCGATGTGACCACTTGGAGAGGTCTGAGTGTCACGTCCGAAGTCCAAGGACTGACTATACCTGGACCAGGCCAGCATGCGCAGTGCTGCCGCAAATCAGTAGTCCACATCTGGCTTGTGATTCTGATCTGATTGTCCTTTGCTGGACAAATCCGCAGATGAAAGAGTTGGCTTGAAGGCTACAATGCTACAATTTCACCAGCACCTCTGTAAGTGGAACTGCTCTTGCCCCCTGCTCCGTGAATTTTAAGGTGAGAAATCTCCAAGTGCTGTAGGAAGATGTTTCCATCATCTCTGCCACCAATGTCTCATGACGTCTCACGCATTGTCATCGCTGGCACAGAAATCCGGGACCTCAGGACCAGTCTCATCCTTCAACTCTTGGGCGCCTTACCTTCCAAACCGCGCGGAGCGGCGAAGGTCACGGGACTCACGTTCGAGAAGTGCCCGCCTGGTGTCATTGGAGAAGAGGGCGGGGTATTCAAGTAGAGCTTCAGATGACATCACCTGGCTCCAGCGCGTGGGTTTTGAGTCTACGAAAGGGCATCGCGACGAGCTCGGAGCGATCGGAGCGCTATTAGGTTGGAGGCCAGAAGCTACTAGTAAGAAGCTACGAACGGAGCAAGGGCATTGCTACTAGTAACAAAGGGCATTACTGGGCTGATGGTCATCCAACGGGTGGCCAATAGACTACCCCACACTGCTTGTGGACCTCCAGCCAGAACACCCAGACAGGATGATCCTGGTTTGGGAGTTCTTTTTTCCCAACACTTTGTGGGTGCACTTTCTTGAGATCTATTTCCGAGTTCACAAGTAGGCGATAAATAGTCGGCAAATTGGAAGAAACCGAGCCCTGGTCATTTTAGGCCTCATGTGTTGGGCCCTATTGATTGAAGTAAGAGAAAAATAGACCTGTTCCTCAGGAGTTACGCGTCGGGGTGGTGTGGCGAACGTGTGGCTATCCAGGGGCCGTGGATGTGTTCTGGAGTCACCCCAACCTCCATGGATGGTACCCTGGCCTCCATGGAACTGACAGTCGGTACCAAACGCCGCGCCGGGAGCCCCTCACTGCATTGGCGCCCGTGGCTGCCAGGCAACGCTCCACGTCTTGAAACCTCGGAGGCTGGCTGTTTTCCTCGCGCTGAAAAGGTGAGCTTTGCAGTGAGCAGATTCCGAAAACACTCGTATGTCATTCGTATGTCATATGGACCCGGGTCGAATCTGAGAATGGATGGAGGTATGGCACCAGGTCACCAGGTGTGGACCCGGGTCGATCCAGGCGACTGACACCGCTGCACCGGTTTTGAGGTTGATCGCCTTCGCTATGGTGTACTGGCTCCCGTTGCCATGGGACTGGCAGAGTGGCCTAGGCCTCCAGTCGTACCGAACCGTTTCGAAGGTGGGCCTGGGGTGGGTGCCATGTTCGGGTCCAGTCATACCGAACCGTTTAGGAGGTACGACTGGAGGTGTAGGGTAAGGGTCAAAGTAGGTGAAAGTTCCAGTCCCCTGGATGGTCAGGGTGAGCAGCCGTTCTGAGGATTTGGGTACTATAGTTTGGATTTATCCATGGTGTGTCACACTTGTGTGTTTTTACCATGTCTTGGGAGAGCCTGACCTTGCCCAATTCTACAGCTCCCTCAACTTTCGAGTGGAGGAGCCTCCATCTGCGACAGTTCGGTGCCTTGGAAAGCGAAAAAACAAACGCCACACCATGCTGGAAGACCAAGCCTAGCTAGGAGCTCCTTCCTTTTCCCATCTTGCTTTCCAGCATTTGTTCCAGCACTTCAAACGCGGCAAACAAAACACACCGTCGTGTCCTCTCAATTCGTCGCCAGCTCCGGACCTTTTTTCTTCGACTCGTTGCCCGACATCGACTGGGTGCCGGACGTTTGGATCCCGCCGTTCGCGATCAGGGGAATGTTCACTCGCTTCCGCACCGCTGCGATGGCCTCCTGAAGGACGCGGTGAGGAAGGACGAAGGAGCACCGAACCGAGGCATCCAGTGGACACGAAGGTACCTGGACCACCCGAGTCCGAAGATCATGTGTGTTTTTGTTTTTTCGAGCCGTGGCATGTTTTCTGCAGACAAAGGTTAGGTATGACATGATCATAGATCAAGAGATTATGCTGGCTCAACTTCAGAAAGTGCATCTTAACTTGAACTCTATAAAACGTCACAAACACACAAGCCAAAGTAGCTTGAAAGCAATTGGCACAAATCAATGAGAATGGTGCTTTTCTTCGAGGCGACCTTCCAACATCCTCAACGCCCTCGAATGTCCGGTCTACACCGTCAGCCGCAAAAAATAAAACACATGCCTGGTACGCCCTAGGGCTCCAACCATCTCCTCAGAAGGTGGTTAGACCCCCAAAACACACCCCAGTCCCACCTTCGAAACGGAGGTGGTTGGAGCCCTAGGGACGGTACGAGGAACCCCCCGAGCCTGGTTTTCTTTCGATCCCGGCATTCAGTTCGGCGCACTTCTAGGAACTCCACCGACGTTGGAGTGCGCCGAAGGTGGAACACCAATGCGCAATCCGAGGGTGACCTGCAAGTGATACGCACTTGTCCTTGACTCTTCCTCACTATACAGTAGGTGGTGCATCGACTTTTTTGGAGCAGGACTCTTGAGCGGATGTTGGAGCAATGCACTCCCTGTAATAAGCACCTGGAGTCTCAAAGTACTTCAGAAAATGAGTACAGTCGTACCTGTTTCTTTATAGGGTGAGTCATGTCCCATTTTCTAAGGTACAAGCTGGAGGGTCCAGGTATGGATTACATGGATGGCCAACGGCCCCGAGTTCGGACCCTTTTGGTTGTCCCAAACGGGTGGTGGTGCCATCCATCCGTGCCTTCCATGATCCTTTCACGGTCCGTGGTCGCCAGGTGGTGATCCCAGACCAGACGAATAGAACTGGAATATAGTTATTATAGATCCATATATAGATCCTTATCCCTAGGGCTCCAAGTACCTTCTAAGAAGGTGGGACTGGGGTGGGTGGGTTGAGAGGGTCCAGTCACACCGAACCTGAGGAGGTACTTGGAGCCGTAGGGTATATATAGCCCATTGATATTCTAATGTAAATATATACATAACCTGGACCCTCCGGACAAGTTCCCAAGTTCGGTGCCGTTGGAAGCCATCCGGGCTGGTCGGGTCCCAAAACCACGTGGTAATAACTATTTCATACCCTATGGGTTGCACATGCCTTCTGAGGTACGGTGTTCGACTATTTATGTCGGCGCCATTGTCGGGTCCTGGCGCCTACAGTACAAGTAGCTTCTGAGCTACGGTGGCTACATCGTCCCATAGGGATACATGGTCGCTACATCGTCCCCTGAAAACCTCCCTCATCGACCCGCGCGGAGTCATCTGCACCACGGGACGCTTCTCCGACGTTGGACGCTTTCTCAGGGCCCAACCCAATCGCAGGGCCCAGTGAATTGGCCCTTCATCTCCTGGCGAAAACCGCTGGCAGCGAAGAATCCCGAGGGGGACAAGACGAAAGCCTTTTGGAGGTCGAAGCCAGCCTTTCTATGTTAACAACATTAATCAGGTTTTGGGAAAAACAATGATAACATGTATAAATGGTGTGGATAATATGGTACAGTACGGTCAGAATTTTATAAACGAACGCAATAGTTTGCTGAGAACTAAAGGAAGTGAGCCTTTCAGGCACCTTAAGGACAGTTCTTGTCTGGTTGTTGACTCTCGGGGCGAACCATATTGCCATGCGGAATCTGGTGAAGGGATTGTCCGTTGTCCGAACTCCCGAACTCTGTTGTCGACAGGATTCCAGGTGTGCACGACCCTATCCCAGAAATTTTGTACCAGGACCATGCTGTCTGGGTGTCCTGGTTCGACTACCCACTACTCAGGGATCTCCAGAGAGGGCACCCACACATTCAAATCCGGAGACCCTTTCACCCTGATGGGTGGACCATGTCTCGTAGTCCATGAATTGGCCAATACCGTACATGCCGGGCTTTTGGAATGCCCAGACTCCCCAACAGAGTGGACGCCCAGAAACTAGCTCAAAAGCTATTTGCCTTTGGGGGGGCCCTGCACTTGCTACAACTGGTGGTTTAAACCCCTTTCTTGATGTGTTTCATGATTGTTTCAACTAGGAAAACTGGGGTTCTCATTCCGGGGGTGAATGGTCACAAGTCCAGGACAGCACCCATAAGCCTCTGCTGGTGACACCGGGCAACGTCCCTGTTCGCCCCGAGACCGTTTGATCCGGGAAGGCGCTCCAAATCACGGTCATGTGAAGCCCTAGGGATCCAAGTACCTTCTCAGAAGGTACTTGGACCCTCCTGGCACCTACATAACAGTGCCTCCAATCACCTTCTGAGAAGGTACTTGGATCCCTAGGGAAGTGTCAGGTGGATGGAGAAAGACGGCCACCCAGTCAGGATAGGTCAGGATCCGTTTGGTCGAAAAAAACCCTAAGAAATCCACAGGGCGGGATGCTGGTGTCCTGAAAAAGACTGGGTGTGCTCCTTGCTTGATCACTTACTGAATCACGTGATGAAACCCATATGAACATCACTTCCCTGCTTTGATCACCTTACTTTACCCGTTTGAAACCTATGCAGCTCCCCGCAGCTCCCTCCGCAGCTCCCTCCAAGTCTCGTGCCTTGGTGCGGCCGTGCAGGCACAAGACCGAGGCGCCCGCGGCTTCCAAGCGGGACGCCAAGTTCAAGGTGTCCTGGCAGTCGGCGCAGGACTTCACGGACGTGCCTGGAGTTGGGAGGCGGATGTGCTTGGGGGATTTCACCAGGTGGAGATCTCTAGAGATAGCTGCTAGGAGCGGAATTCCGCAGAGATGGTTCCCCTTCTTTTCCATGGAAACTGCTCCGAAGAGACATTCCCGTACTGCACCTATGTTGCCTTGTTGTCCGTGTTCGAGGCCCTGACAGGTGACGCTGTGACCAGACATGGCAAGGTTACCCGTGTGGATGCCTGGCTAAAAGTATCTATAAGAGCGCTTTTTAAAGATATCATCATATTAATATGGAATCCTTTGCGGTGGCGTCCAACCATTTGTCTCATGAAGCAACAGGTGCTCATGTGGTCATCTCACCACCTAGGAAAGACTGAAACCTGGTGAAGCAAAAAGTGAGCAGACACACCACGGCTCCAAACATGTGACATCCCCGTTCGCCCAGCAACGTCGGTCCATGACCACGACAACACATCCATCCCAAACCGGGGTCTGCGACCCAACAGGGAGCAATGATGGAATATAGATCCCTAGGGATCCGGTCGTACCTCCTCAAAAGGTACTTGGACCCTCCTGGCACCCACCCCAAACACCTTCTCAGAGGGCACTTCGATCCTTAGGGGATGAATATAGTGTGTACATAGATGGGTCATGTTCATGGAGTCAAAGTAAACACAGTAACCCATGGATACTTCAGTCTAAGTAAAATACCAATGGATAATCCATTTTCAATGGACTGGTTTACAAAGGTTTAGGGTTTGGCTTTAGGGTTTAGGGTTTAGTTTACAATATTTACAATAGGTTTACAGTTTACAAATAACGTATCCGTATCCAGTCCCATTCGTCTGGGATCGCTTTCTCCTGCAGCTCGTGACTGTTCACCAAGCGGATCTTCACCGTCGAAGGCACCGAGAGCTCCTGCGCGCGGTGAGAGAGAGAGAGCCCTGGAAGTCTTCGACGAAATGTTCAGATGAAAAACCCTAAGACGTCTTGGGGATTCCCTGGTTGTTCAGGAAACACGGATCCAAAAGAAAGATCAACGTTGATCTCTATAGTTGTTTTACCATATGGGTGGCCGGGCCCAAGCGATGTGCTGATTCAAGAGTCTCATCGAACAAGTACCAAAAGCCCTTGGCTTGAGAGGGTGCGTGTTGACAAGCACCTCGTCCCTTGACTGAGCACCGCGTCGTTGATGGTGCGTTAATGTCCTGCGAGTCAACAAGAGGAAGGACATTAACGCACCTTCTCAGAGGAAGGCCATAGGAGGAAGGCCGTAGGAGCCAAGCAGCCATGTCCAAGACACTATGTCCAAGAGGAAGGCCATAGGTCGAAGATGTCGAAGAAGTGGACCCAAGCTCTACCGATGACCGGTAGATGACCGGTCGTCTCGTCTCTACCGATGCGTGGTCTTCAGTCTCTGTCTCTGCCGAGACTTGGCCGCAGAAGGCACAAAGCAGTAGCCACTTAGGACCCTGCAGTGGCTCCAAGCACTTGGAACAGTCGATGGCTGCAGTGTCACGAACCATAGTTCCAAGATGTTCCAAGTTCCCATGCTTCAAGCATGGAGTTGCTTGGCCAGTCACAAAGTGTTGGGTCAGAGAATGCAACCGTGTCATGACTCAGCACATCAGCGTAGTGGCAGTGAGCAGAGATGTCTTCAACCTTAGTGGATGGTGCAGTCACCCAGAAGTTCCAGCCAGACATCATCAAGAGGTCAGTAGATCATGTCGTTGACAAGAACAGTGGAAGGAACACCAGCAACACAAATCCTACAAAGCTCCTCCTCTGTCACAAGGTTGCGTCGAAGTCTAGATCCGTGCTGCCAGAGGTTCTTGTCAAGATACTCGTGGTGCCACTTCTGACAAGTTCTGTAGCCCAGAGCGAATAAGCTGGAGATGGGAGGAGCTCGACCGTCGACAGAGTCATGAAGGGATGCCCGGTCACATCCCCTAGGGCTCCTGGCCCACATCCCCAGAAGGTGTTTTAGGTGGGTGCCAGGGGGGTCTGTGCCCACCGAACCTGAGGATGTGGGCCAGGAGCCCTTTAAAAGAAACCGCACCCACCTGCTGGATCATGATCTCTGGAACATCATAGAACATCCCCCCCTCGTCCGCGCAGACCGAGAAAGCCGGCACAAGTCCGTCGTGGGAGCGGGACTTCGAGAGGAAGCCAGACATCCAAACACGACTAGGGCATGGGACTACCATAGGACTGCCGCCGACTGCCGCCCCATTGACCCCC